TATGTGTGTGTGTGTGTGTGTGTGTGTAATGTTCATATTGTGTTTGTGCTTCACTTCAGTGTTGGATACTAATGATCGATTCCTGAGGAAGATCACCATAGGCCAGTCACCAACTGAAAAGGGACACAAAAGAGAGGTAAAAAGTAGTTTATCATTCATTAAGGACCACAAAGTGTAATGTAGGAAAATTATTTACTTTGGTGCCCCCTAGTGGTAGCATAAACAGAAAAACACTGGCAAATAGCATAAGCTTTTTTTCAGACATGAACGTTCTAAAAATGGGTCCGGACATTATCCAGAATTTGCCTTTTACATATGAAGAATGCAGCGTTAGATTGTTTGGGTGAGTTGTGTTTATAACAACAGGAACATTTCTGGAACATTCATGCTAGGGGTGGCACCAGAGTAGAACATGGAGGAGACAGGACATGATGTATAAATTCTGCTGGGGAACGCACAGTGCAGTGTTTTTATTTTCAGAATATCAACACTGAAGTCGGCCCTTACTGGCAAAAGCTCTCGATTGTTATTGTTTCTCCAAGTTGACATCTGTGTCTTCTACGTGTATGACACCTCTGACATTTCCCAGACATTTTATTATTATTATTTCAGGAAAATGCCCAGACTTCAGTGCATTTCTGAAAGCAGTCATAAGTAGAAGTACAGAAAGAAGCTATGACCGGGGCAGTAATGCAGCGCTTTGACTGCCAGCTGCCACAAAACCTCAAAGAAGAAGAAGAAGCTGTGATCACATACAGATTCTACACATTGGATTCAACACTTGGTCTAGCCAGAGACTGTAGTGTTCTTGATAAGGATCCATGTAATATCTGTGCCCTCCTCCATCCCACAGGCCCAGTTTGACATCACGGTGGCGAGTGAAATCATGGCAGTGCTTGCCCTCACCAGCAGCCTGGAGGACATGCGTCAGCGTCTGGCAAAGATGGTGGTGGCCACCAGCCGCAGTGGACAGCCTATCACCACAGAGGACCTGGTCAGTGTCCTGGTGTCTTCACAGCAAGACCTGCTATATTTTATATATATTGGTGATACTAGGCTGCTATAATGTATTTCTTTTAAATTATTGTTCAGGGTGTGAGTGGTGCTCTAACTGTGCTGATGAAAGATGCAATAAAGCCAAACCTGATGCAGACTTTGGAGGTGAGGGAACAGCACACACTAACCTATACTCAGACTTTCTTTGAGGAACATGTTTTTAAGTTACCAGACTTACCAGAAATAAACTCCTACAAGCTTCTATTTCAGTCCTTTGACACATACTGTTTTAATTGTTTTCTGTTGTTGGTCTCAAATATATATTCTTTTATGATAAAAACGTATTTTCTTAAGAGATGTGTCTTAACTTATGTTTTTTGTATCCCATAAATCCACAGGGAACTCCTGTGTTTGTACATGCGGGCCCCTTCGCCAACATCGCCCACGGCAACTCCTCCATCCTGGCTGATAAAATCGCTTTGAAGCTGGTTGGACCTGAGGGCTTTGTAGGTAAGTGGAGCAATAGTTCTACTGTTATGGATGTTTTGCTTCTACTGTACATGTGATTGTGAAGCAGATGTTATATTACAGTCAGATATTCCTCTGTACTCCTCACAAATGCTTCATCATACAACTGCTGACTATTGTTTCTCAACAGTGACTGAGGCTGGTTTTGGTGCTGACATCGGCATGGAGAAGTTCTTCAACATCAAGTGCCGCTACTCAGGCCTGAGGCCACAAGTGGTGGTGTTAGTGGCGACTGTCCGAGCCCTGAAGATGCATGGAGGAGGATCAAAAGTGAGTTTTCTGCAGCATTGCAATGACAAGATGATTTGTTTTATTGGCTTTATTTTGAAATCCCACTAATGATTTTAAATTTGTGAATAATTTGACATAATAATCTCACCTCTCATCCTCATAAACACAAAAAGATTTCTTGTGCACTGAATGTTTCACCCTCTGTCAGTGACGGTGCACTGCTGGGTGTGTCATTATATGCTCCTGAGTTGACGCTCCCTTCATTCACTCTTCAGCTCCACGATAAATAAAAGAAACATATAGTGATCAATCTTATGTAAAGTTCATTGTGTCAGTTGTTGGAATTATCAAATGAACTAACACATACGTCTTGTTCAGGTTACTGCTGGAATGCCACTGCCAAAGGAATATGTTGAGGAGGTAATGTAGGATATGTTTTATTTTAAATGATATTCTGTCGATCAACATTGTGTATTTATTAGTTTGTATGAAGCATCTGAGCCACAGTGTCAGTTGTTTTAACACATATCAAGCAATTTTGTGTATGTGTCTGTGTGTGTCTGTGTGTGTCTGTGTGTGTCTGTGTAGAACCTCGAGCTCCTGGAGAAGGGCTGCAGCAACATGAGGAAGCAGATAGAGAATGCACAGCACTTTGGTGTGCCTGTGGTGGTCGCTGTCAATGCTTTCAAGTAAGTGCTGATCACATGGTAGAATAATTTCACTTACAGCTGCACCATTCAATATTTTTATACTCACAAAGGATCAAATGACACTATGAAATATGAATGGTGCCACTTACACTAACAAATCCAGAGAATTTTAGCAAAATTCAGCTAATTGTTTGGATTTGGATCAAATCTACTTTTTCTCTTCACTCTTGGAACTCATCACTGCAAAAAAAGCTAATTTAGCTGCTGGCTGCTGAACATTGTGGAGCATTTAGCAGCCGAAGGACCAGATTCTTCCCTCAAGAAATGGTGGAAATTAAAAACAGCTAAAAAAGAGGGACACTACATGTTAGTGACAAAAACTTCATATGTCTTTACAGCTTGTTTGTGCTGCTCCTAAGTGAAGGTGGTTAAATGTTTTATCAAGTTTAGGTTTTCGGAGGCGGGATCGAGATTGTGCATCTGTTTTCTTACTAATTAATTTCCATAACAATTATAATACCCTCTCCTGACACATTATTTACAAAGAGATTCGATGATACATATTAATGCAAATGTTTATATTATTTATATATTGACATGTATTAAAAAAATTGTTGTGTTTTTGACCCCTCAAGCATTTTGTGCACTGATTCCTGCAGGACAGACACTGAGGCTGAGCTGGACTTGGTCTGCAGCATGGCCAAAACTGCCGGAGCGTTTGATGCAGTGCGATGCTCCCACTGGGCAGAGGGTGGAGCGGGGGCTGTGGCCCTGGGTCAGGCCGTCCAGAGAGCCTCCGTGGTCCCCAGCAACTTTAAATTCCTTTATGATTTGGAGGTATAGGCTCTAAACCTGACTTCTGAAGTTCAGTGTTAGGTTTAAAATATAAAACTTGAATATCTAGACAGTATATTTAAGCAGTCTGTTTCACTGTTTTGAATTTGAAATGAATATTTTAAAAAGCAATGTTCTCATTCACAACCAGTCATGTATTGAAAATGCTATTGGTGTAAAGCCATGTCAACTACAGGACTGTCTTGACGGCCATATTTATATCTCTAATTCCCATTCAGCTCCCTATTGCTGACAAAATTCGAACAATTGCCCAGAAGATCTACGGTGCAGATGATATTGAGCTTCTCCCAGAGGCCCAACACAAGGTGGAGCTCTACACCAAACAGGTCAGTGAACCTCAGTGAACCTCAGAGTTGACATGTTCCTGACTTCGACCTTGTCAGGCCTGTTTTTCAACTGCTGCTGTCAGTGTAGATCAACTCTTATTGAATGGAGAATTCTTCAGTTTGCCTTTTGTAAAAGTTGTAATTACATTTCCGTCTGTACCCTTCGCCCCTCAGGGTTTCGGCAATCTGCCAGTCTGCATGGCGAAGACACACCTATCGCTCTCACATGAGCCTGAGAAGAAGGGTGTGCCCACGGGGTTCATCCTGCCAATCAGAGACATCCGAGCCAGTGTGGGCGCCGGCTTTCTGTTCCCACTGGTTGGCACGGTACGCTCTCGTTTATATTGAGGACACTGTGGCTTTCCAGATTTTGGAGTGGGGGAGACAAGGGTGCCATCAAATCACATGATAATCTACACAACTTCATTTTTAACATTCATTCATTTATTTAATAAGGAGGAATACTACATGCAAATTAAGCAATCGAATAAACTGTCATCACACATTGTCAGCGTATATACTCAGTAGTGATCTACGACTTTGGCAGCACACACTGTGTTTGCAGGAGGTTCATCTGCTTCTGTGAACCAGTATACAATGTCGTCTCACCACTTTTACTAATTTTCTTAATTAGTGGGTATAAAAAAAAGCAACTGACTCCTTTCCTATTGCCAGTAGAGGAGTTTGCCTTTTGTTTTTGTCTTTTCCCCCCACTGAGTCATGTTTGCTGTTACGAATGTACCGAAAACTGAGAAGCTCTTGTCTTGTCATGTCAGAGTTGCATTTTGCATGATACAAATAAAAAATGGCATTTGCATGTTCTCAAGAATTCAAAAACACTACGTACACAAACGTTCATGACTATTTACCCGTCGGACACCCAGAAGTTCAAGGCTTGTCATAAAGTCGTGCAGAAAAAGATTAGCGTCTACACTGTCAAAGTAAAGAAGACGTCAGTGCAGTGGGTGAAATGTTTTCTGTACTGCAGAATCATTTGACCCAGGAGTGAATGCAAATTTAATTTTATCCTATTACACACTAAAGACCATATGTCAGTGGTTGTTAGTAGTTTTTTGGACCTGTGGAAAAAGGGGGCTCAAGGTGTCATCTGAAAATTGGACGGACAGGTGTCCACATCAAGTTCTATCGTGTGTTTACAGTACATGATTGTAGTAAATGGCCTGATCTTTCATTGGATATTATTTTCATCAAGAATGCATCATTAAAACACACTGTCTCTGTCTTCATCCCTAGATGCCTACGATCCCCGGTCTTCCCACCAGGCCTTGCTTCTATGACATTGATCTGGATCCTGAGACTGAACAGGTCAACGGACTCTTTTAAAGGAGGACTGTACGATGGTAATGAGTTAAAAACACATATTTACATCTCATACATCTCTTGGGGGGTTGCTGATCTCAGCAGTATTTTGCTCTTTCTGTTTGCTTTATTTCTCAGTGAATAGACATAGCCCAGCCCTCAACTGAGCCTTACCAAAATGGGACGGACTAATTACTGAAAGTGTCGCTAATCTGCTAGTGTCTTTTTCTTTGTCATTTCACTCAGACAATGACATCTGTAAATAATTGATTTGCTTTTCCCAGAGGGTTGCTGATGAATTAATCAAAAAAGTTGTCTGTGATAGACAGGGTCTCAGAACTACCAAAAACTTAGTAGTGACACATCTGGATTCGAGCATTAACCACCGTATCCACTACATCAGGGGCGTCTCCTTTATCATTTTTCTCTGTTTGACTGATTTCATTCCTAATGCCTGTCGAGCGTCCTGTTTTGCTGTCCCATATTTGTAACTGAATATTTCTAATACTGTCTAATATTGCTGGACCAATCTGCACTGCTGTGAAAATGAACTGTGGTAAAGTTGCATTGCTGTCAGGAAAGATCAAATAAAGTCTTCTTGATGTAAAGACATGTATCAGCAATTCTTTTTATTCTTTTTATAAACTTTTTTTTATATTCTTGTATGATGGTTTGTTGTGTAGTTATTCTGTTGTTATGTTCTTACAGTTTCAAGCCTTTTCTGAAGTTGGTTATTTCAGACCATCGGCATATTGAGCTGTCTAGAGCATCTGCCTCTTCATCTTTGTCTGTCTACAGATGTTTGTTTTTTTTTTCTTTCCTGAAGTTTTATTTTCCATATGGAGTTAACGCGGTACAGTATAATGAAATGTGTTGGACAAGAAGAAACCAGTCAGCTCAGCAGTTCAATAGATACGGTCATAGGGTTTTAGGAGAGCTGAAGCCAGTCCCAGCTGACATTGGAAAAGAAGCAGGATACAACCTGGACAGGTTGTCAGTCAACACCATTTACACGTTCACACCCACAGGTAATTTAGGGCTGTTGAAAACATGCACACACAACTCCAAACAAAACAGGTCAAACCAAGGACCTTGCTATGAGGCAAAGATATAGAACTGAATGTTTCTCTTTTTTTAGCAAAAGTTTTGTACTTTTAATCTACCACCATAAAATGTAGCCCTCTTCCAACAAGATTATGTACAGCCAAACTGGTCATTTATGATGAGTATTGATATTTACTAGACATTTATCTTGCAACAACAACAATACTACTACTACTAATAATAATAATAATCATTAATTTATTACCACAATCAACTGAAAGATTACATCCTTTTTCATTGAATGTGTCACTGACTTATATATTTATGAGAATAAACAATAAACCAGTCTTGTCTTTTTTGGGGGTTAGTTTTATTAGAGATGTTTATATTCTTTACAATCAATAAATCTCAGAATTTTGAATCAATGATTTCTTATTTTTGGGGGCGACCACCACCATGCCCTTTGCTCTTTTCTTCTCCTTTTCCTTTTCCTTTTCCTCCTCCTTGGCCTTGTCCATGGGAATGACCTTTCTTCTTTCCCTTCAAAGGACAAACATAAAATAAATAACTGAAAACACAGACAGACTAATGGCTGTATATTTTTAAATAAAAATGTTGTCTGAGTTTTACCTTTTCACCCGTTCCTTCTTCCTACAAAAGACAATGTGAGATTAACATGGGGTTCTAGAAAATGACTGAATCTTGCAACGAGTGCAGGTTAAGAAAGACTTACTCCGTCTGATTCAGAAGTTCCACTAGTTTCCTCCTGTTCCTCAGGTGCTCTTTCAAGCTTTTCCTAAGACAAGAAAATGGCTTCATAAGAATATGTTTTCATGCTGTTAGTCTAAAGAAGTGTGAAGAAAGTAATAGACTCACTTGTTTGCCGTCTGTGATGGAAACAAAAAAGGAAAAAAAAGTTAAAAATTAAATTAACTGAGAAATTACACATGAATCAAACGTGTCATGAGAGTTGAAAAATATATATATTTACTGGACTGAATTTATATTCCATAATTATTGACAGTAACCACACAGGGATTATTACATTACTAACAACTGTTTCATCCTTAGTATTTATCATTTGTTATGTCAATCAAGTTTACACATGGGTGTGCATACGCCATTATGATAATAATAAAAACAACTAATTCAAAGTGAAAAGCAATCAGTTATCATAGAAATATAATACAATTCTCAACTATACAGTCAATAACCAAATACAAGATGCAGCCAAATGTGTGCATGAAAGTGGAATAAAGTACAGTGGGTGGGGAAACATTCAGACTCCATCATTTTAGTTAATTTGTTCAATAGACATGTTTAGACATTCTGAACAGAAAAAAGATATAACAGTTAATCAAAGAGACTTACTCCCACTCATGTTGTCTTGTTGACAGCTGCAGTAGAAAATCTTTTCCTGGAGACAAAAATATTGAAACAATCGGTTTAAAACTTGAACCTGCAAAAGGCAGTAGAAAATAGTGAACAACACTCACAATCTGCCTGGTGCGAAAATCAAACTGACTGATGTTTGACGTGTGTGTTCATTCTATTTATACACAGCAGTGCTGCATGATATGATGTAGGTCTCATGTAATGAAATGTGACTGATAGTTGCAGAGCAGGTATGGGCTGGGTGTCAAAACAAATGTTTTGTGGTCCACCCTTAACATCTGCTCTGAGTCATCCAAATGCTTCAGAAAACTCCCCCCACACACGCACAACTATTTTCTGTTTATCAAGGACTGTATGAGTATGGATTCATTTATTTAATTTATTATGTGAGTTGGATGGGTTACATTTTTCCTTCATGGCATTGTCCCTTCTCACTCTGCTGCTGTTTTGATATGGTAACATGTTGAGACGCTTTAAGGGAGCCTTTATTCAACGATTGTCAGTAATTAGTCCAGGCACTGACAGAAATTTTATAATCAGGTTTCTGTGATGGATGCTTTTGAGTCGTGGCCAAACTGTTTCATGGAAACAGGTTCTGTAGGGTGCAATAGATCTAATAGTGGAAACGTATCTGTACCAGTGGCGACAGGAAATCCAGAGTTTCAAAGGAACACTTGTAGTTTAAACCAACCGCTCTTGTTTATGGAAAAAATATTGAGATCGTTTACTAAAACCAGCTGTATCACTTTTTGAAAAATACTATGTATAGATGTAAATGCAAGTGTTAAATTTGTAATTTTACTTAAGGCCACAACTGTATGAGCAGTAGAAGAGTCATATCCTTCAATTTTTTTTCCATCTGCATTTATTTATCTGTCTGTTTGTCAGTGAGCAGGATTAGGCAAAAACTACTGAATGGATTACCATGAAACTTGATGAAGGGTTATGGTATGGGTCAAGGAAGAACCCATTACATTTTGGTGAGAATCCCGATCAGGTGGCAGATCCAGGAAACATTTTTCACATTGAGTATGTATAATTTGGTGGAGATCCAAATAAAAAAATGTGTTTCATGAGGCGACTGCATTGCGCTCTCTTGTGAATATTAATCCATGCATGAAGTTCGTCCTTAGTTGAATATAAAATATATGCAAACGCTGAACCACCCTTGACTGAATCAATCCTCCTGACACTGGTTTTGTTATTTGTAACCAGTAATTATCTGTTCAAATGTCAATGATAGCGACACACATTGCCACTGTCTGGGTATTTTTTTCTATAATTATATAGATCACGTAAGACACCTCAGACACACCTCAGACACACCTCAGGCACACCTCAGACACACCTCAGACACACCTGTCACTGTTTTAAAGCATTCACACTGAGCTAAATCTAAAACGTCAAGTGAGGTGCAAGGAGAGGGGCAAACAGGATAGCTGATGACCGAGGAGGGGTTGAGGAGAACACATGCATTTTTATCATGACCTGAAATGACACATGGTTTGTTCTCTCAACTGCAGGAGGCCTGTGTGTGAGCCACATGTCCTCATGTCAACTCTGTTTAATGTCAAATCAGGTGATCAAGACAAAATCAATGAAGTTTGGCATACACCTGGTGGTGTATTGGGGGAGCAGACGAGGGGGTTGCAGCCGGGCTGGCAGGGTGGGGGGAGGGGCAGGTGCCTGATCAAACCTGTTGATAAACATGTTCTTTCTTTCTAATTTTCTAAGTTTATTTGTATAGCGCCAAATCATAATCTACATTATCTCAAGGCACTTTACATAGAAGGTCAGGACCTTAAAATCAAAATATAGAGAAACCCAACAGTTCCCATAGTGAGCAAGCACTTTGGCGACTGTGGAGAGGAAAAACTCCCTCATTAACAGGGATAAACCTCTAGCAACCAAAAGGTCTCATATCTGTGATGTCTAGGGAGTGAAGGCTTTGACCTTCGCCAAGCTCTCGCACTTCCCAAACACAACAGCCTGTTGCACTATGCCCCAGAGAGGACAAGAGACAATGTCTATGAAAATTCCATAACAGTTGCCATGTAGTGATATAATCAAGCAAATAATATCCACAAATAAGGTGCTTCCTCAGCCTTCTTCTGTCTTCTCAAGCATTCATTTCCTTTACTCGAGGGCTTTCTTACACTCAATCAGCAGTGGGTACACTTGCTTCACAGCCGTGGTCACAATCTGCACTGTTGGCCCTGTAATTATGAGGCTGCCACTGGAGAACAGTTGAAAAGTAGCCTTGATATTTTTGATCCTGTATGTGGCAGCTGGACAGAGCCCTGGTTTGTAACTGGCATCGGGGTGGTTGTTCTTAGTGAAGTCCATGAGGTTGACTGCAAAGGGCATGTAGCAAACTGCCAGCACATTCACGACTCGGAAGTTTGAAAACCCCACATTGAAGCCTAGTTTCTGCAGAATGCGTGCTACCCTGCGAGCACCACGTTTCGAATCATCTTCAGAATTTGTTCCACTGCACATGATTTTCCCTGAGGACCAAATTCGGGCTGTTATCTTGGGTCTAAGAAGCATCATCAGGACATGTCCACATTGTGGCTTATAAATGACGTTAAATCCCTCTAAGGCAATGGTGCGTAAATTGAGTTGACATCTGGTGCTGAAGATCGCCATCACATTGGTGACAAAGATATCGATTGGCTCATTGTTGGAATCCATGACGAAATTTGTGGTGCAGTATTAAGTGTTTTCGGTACAGTTAACGGTGGGTGGCAAGGTGCAAGGTGTATTTTTTAAGATTAAGATCAAAGGCATTCCTTTACATTCCATTCGTCCTTTACTTAATAGCCACTTTGACGTCTTTGCTTTCTCATAGTCATATTGATTCGGTATTTTATTGATAATTGATTAATTAAATGATTTATTCAATAAGTTAAAGGTACATTGTGTAGAATTTTGTGATATCTAGTGTTGAAATTGCATGTTGTAGCTGAACACCCCTCACCTCACCCTCTCCTTCCAAACATGAAAAAGAAACTGTGGTAGCCTTTAATTGTCACAAAAACTTAAAAGGTGTTTAGTTTGTCCAGTCTGGACTAATGTAAAAAACATGACGGCCTCCGTAGAGAGGGTCCCCTCGATGTAAATATTAAGTATTTGAATTCAAAGGGCCTTTTCTGGGGTAAAGAAAAGTCCAATTCATACAATTTAGATAAAAAAACTAGTGAAAACATCATGAGGATTATTCTACATAAAATTTCTGTAGTAGTTCCCTCTCACCTAAATCTTACACACTGGACCTTTAAAGAAGAAGAAGTAAGAAAAACAAAAGATTGTAGATGGCGGTGATGAACCTTGATGTTGGTTTCCACCTGCCAATAAACTGAACAAAGAGGAAGAAATTTATCATTTTTCGTGCTCAACCAATTGTGCCTCAATTGTGATCAATCTTTAACGATAAATGTTAAATCAAAAAACTATGTGAATTTGCAGCATATGTTGCATTTATACATTTTATACATTTATTTGATTGTGTTGGCAAGAGAGATAGCACACCCCATTGCCTTTTGTTTGATTGATTTTAAACTTTAATATTAACATTAAACAGGAACTCTAAAATGTATTAAAACAACCAACAAGCTCAAACATAAATTGAAACTAGGAATGAAATATTTGAATTGATTACACATTGTATCAGGAAAAGGTAACAGTCCTGTAAATTATTTAGGATATCTTAATTAGCTAGGGAATTAAAGCAACAGATGCACACTTACTAAAACTAACAAATGTAATGGAAATCAGGAAAAGAATTAGGGATTTTTTGACAGATAGAAACAAACATGGATGGCCCTATACAGGGGTGAAGTCATACAGGAATTTCTCAATCGTCTTCTCAGAAAGATTCATTTAATTTACCTTTGCCTGTGAAACATCCAATCCGTGTCAGGCTTTGGGTCAGGTATCTCATCGACCACACTTACATACTTGGAGGTCTGATCAAAAAATTAGATTAAACACTGGGGAATGCCTTAAACTCAGCATATTTTAACAGATCCAGGTCACATTACCTGCGGGTTTCTCTTTGATCAGAGGGAACTCAGAGGTGCATGGTTTTTGTCAAGTCTGCTTTGTTAGTCTAGTCCCCTCAAAACCATCTCAGTGTTATTGTCATCAGTTATGCTGCTTAGCAGTTCATTTAGCTTTTTTATTCTATTTGTGTGCACCTTGAATAGTGTTTATTGTAAGTGGAACATTTAAGTTACCAGAACAAGCTCCTCCTCTTGAGACCATAGGAGGAGGATGAAGAACCATCCAAATTCCCTCTGTCACCTCTTCATGGGTGCCCGGGGAAGGGCTAGCATGTATCTTCAGGCCTGGATCCATTCTGCTTTACCTTGGACCCTAAGAGCTGTTCTGGTTGTTAACAGTGAGTAGAAAAATTGTAAAAATGCAAGAGTGCAAAAAGCAGTGTCTGGAGTCTGGAACTAAAGTGTAGAAACAGTAACATACAAAGTTGATTCACAGTAATTTAAAAGTGAAATAAGGTTAACTGCACAGGGTAACTGAAGGACAAGTGTGGTCTGAGTGAATAGTAAAATAACAGGACCGTACCAATGGACATCTGCAAAAGAAAGCTAATTAAAGATTTGGTCAGAGACACAATGAAGAAGAATCAACTGCAAATTACTCATAACCCCTCATGGAATATTTGTATGAGCATCCACATGTGACTACATTATGAATACATTGGGCTATTTTCACAGATTTTCCCTTTGATTTTCTCCGTCATTGCCAAGAAAAGAGACATCAAAGTTGTTATGATCAGTTTCCCCATGAAGATAAATATATATAAAATGACAGACTCAAACTAAAATATCGTTGTTTTTGTCATTTTTGGCCGCTACAACATCTATACCTTTTTACCGTAAAGGCACAGGTAGACGTCCAAGGGGTTTCTGGCTGTCATTTATTGCCTTTCAAACAAGCAGCTTATCGTTTGGTTTCTATTGACCCTTCACAAAAATAACACTTGGAAATGTTTGATTGATTCTTAATCTTGATTCAGATTTTATTTTCCCATTAAAAAAAACTGCGCAGTATCGTGTTTTACTCTGTCTCTGTGTGAAGCTCAACTCCTCTTCACAAAGCATTTGGCGCAGACTAGTGGACACGATGCGAAGTTGCCGTTTCTGCTCGTACCTCAACTGGAAGATGCAAGTACACTTATCACTTATCTATCTATCTATCTATCTATCTATCTATCTATCTATCTATCTATCTATCTGTCCATCTGTCTGTCTGTCTGTCCATCCATCCATTCATAGTTTTGATTTAAGGTAAAGGCAAAAAAGTACGTGTTCAATACAGTTAGCTTGTTGTCATCACAGCTAAAAACATAAATAATCAACAAGAAAAATGCGAATGTCATAAAATATATAATTTATAATCTCTCACTAAATCTGCTCATCCCTTGAGTTTTCATTATCAGGCCAAACTTTTCATATATGATCGTTTTCAGTAATTTAACGTCAGTTATTATCAGTTAAAGCGTTGTACTTTTCGTGTTAATAAAAAACTGTTAGCATGCTAACAGGCTAAACTAAGATTAGGAACATGCTAAACGTTACAGCTGCTAAACATCAGTATGCTAACGATGTCGATGTTAGCATGTTCGCTCGCTGGCCTTCACATTTGACTGACATTACAGTGGACTGGGCACGACTGCAGACTCTTCAAATGTTTCAATTTTATTGTTAATCTTATATAAATGACCTGAATTCCAATAGTTAAGTGTTTTGGTTTGCTTCACTACCACAACTGTACCATTTTGGAACATCACCTACCATAACCTTTGACCCTACATAAGCCTGATAGCAGGCTCATACACAAACATGGCCAGTTTTAGGCATTAACAGGTTAGAGACACTAACTTCTTACTTTTATCCTAAAATAACTCGAATATGTTCCAGACTCAAAGTGTTTGGAAAGAGCTTCAGCTCAGTAGCGGCAGTATTGATCTGTGTAGAATGTAAACTGTGTATTTTTAGGTATTTCTTAAAACTGCAGAGACTCTGCACCGACTCTCAGTGTGACATCAGTCTGCTGCTGCCTGTCAGCTCTCACACTGGGCTCTGGCAGATGCAAAATGTCCTGCATGGAGATTTGTGGGAACTTCAGCAGCCAGTACCCCCCCACCCCTTACCCACCCATCCACCCTGCAGTCTTTAGGAAGCTTCATTAGTGCTCTAAACAAGTAGTCTGCTGCTCGTAGGAGACGCAGCTGTTGTCTCATTTGTGATTTCTGCATTTATATAGTTTCATTATAGATGTGATTGAGGCCCCATGAGAAATGGAGAGAAGCTTTCAATAGTTTTTTTTGTCATTAATTCTTTTTTTTAGTTGGGACACTGGCATACGTAGCAAAAAGATCTGACCAGTCACATACACACTCAATAATGGAGTAAATACAAATATACTCATTACAAATCTGAGACAAAATTTCTTATGTTGTATATATCTTTACAATATATATAGGTGTAAACAGTATATAGGCCTGAAGTATACTTGAATGTTAAATGTAGCTCTTGATATGATATGATAATAAAATGAGATACACAAATACATGTATACATATACACACACGGAAGTTATTTAAAAAAGAGGGAAAGAATAAATGAAGAAACGGTTTTTCCAATGTTAAATGTAACTATTAAAAATTTTGACGAAAAACTATGAGGAATGATATAAATAAATGTGTGCATGTTTCTTTCTTTGGAAAAGAAGCAAATAATAAATTAACAAACAATAATCTATCTGGCGTTAAATGTAATATTTAAAAGGGATAAAGAAAAAAGTATAAGGAAAATTGTATGTACATATACTGTATATATATATACACACTGACAAAAATGTGTGTGTGTGTAGAGAGGGTGACAGGATTTAAGTCCAGCATGCTTTGAGAAGAGGATAAGTGAGGAGGGGAAAGAGCAAGTGCTTTAGAGACGGGGAGAGGGAGTGAGAGAGCATATGTGCGGTGGGAGGGTTGGAGAGAGAGAGAATGACAGAGGGTGGACGAGCGGGTGGGTGCTGTGAAATCTGTTAACAGGGGAGCTCTGTGCATTTGTTAGACGTCTTGGCTGCTTGCCCAACTTGGCTCATTGTAATCGAGGCATGATCGTCGACTCCAGGCAGCCCTCTCTGCCGCCTCGGCAGCCTCGCGCCTGGACTCAGCCCAGCTCTCCCCGCTGACATGGAAAGACCTGTGAGTGTCTCCTTTCTCTTTCCCCGCATCCTTCTCTCTCTCTGTATGAGGTTCTCTCTCTTCCTCTCCTGCTTTGTCGCAGATTGAGCTGCCATTCAGTTGTGTCTCTGGCTCTTTTCTCTCCTCCGTTGTAGCTCCTGTAGGTGGCAGGAATGCTGGTTAGGGAGGAAGCCTTGGCAGCTTTCTCTCTGCAGGCCCCCCTCCTCCCCTTTTTGCCTGCCTGTCCAGGCATGGGTACCGTCCCCTGGCAGACCCACAGCGTTTTGGTGTGTTTTGTGATCGTGTGTATATGTGCGTACGTTACCCTTGCTGCTGCACAATCAAAGAACTGGACTGCTGAACCCGGGGAGGTACCGTCCCCACACATAGTCTCCCCCACTTTGTGGAGGCCAGTGCTCACTTCAGTCTCCGCCATTGGCCTCGCTGAGATTCAGAGTTAGCAGCTTGTCTCTCCCTTGCGCCTATTCTTGGTGGTATGTCCTCATGGTGTGTTGTGTTTGGATACCCTGACAACTAGAAGCTGTGAGGTAACCACTTTCCAGCCGGCCGCCTCTTTGAGTGAGTCCCAACTTTTCTCTCATGCTCTGTGACTTTACAGGTTTGAAAAAGACCCATATGGATTCAGGATGTATTCTCTTTGCCATTTTGCTTAAAGTCTGTGCTCACAACTTTAGAGCAAAAATGGGGATCTCTCTGACAGCAGGTTTGAGTGCTGTAGTTGAACCCATCCTCTTAGTGGCAGCCAGTCTCTGCTGGCGTACCAGCAGCCACAGTGAAAACAGCATGTAAGAATTTCTTGCAGTCCCAACGTGATGGTCTTTGTGCGCTTGTGAACCGTGAGTCATCATGCTAGCCAGTAATATCACACAGAAGTGGCCTCAGCGTTCTTGCCATCACTGGGGCAACAGTGGAGGATGACTGACTCGCTTTGGCACCGCTGTTTGCTGCCTCTGTGGAGAGGGTCTGACCCTTCAGAAATAATTTACACAGTGTTTGGAGAGTGGGACCTATCTAAATAAGTTGTGTTGCTTCACAGTTTCAATGAGCACCGGTGGCAACTTATTAGTCAGTTTATTGACACTTCTCTGCTGTGAGTGACAACAGAGGATGAAAACACTGGTTCTAGCTTATTGAGTTGAATGACTGTTGTTCATTGAGGATTATCTGAGCACTGTTTGTGTGCTGAATAAAATCCTTCTGAAGTTATGAAGAACATTTGTTCTGGCTTGAAATATGTAGACATCAGACAGAGGGATGGATGAAACAGCAGCAAACTCTGATAACTCTGATTCCATTGTTTCAAAGATGTGGCATGTAAGTTTGCCCGATGTGTGAAACCTGTTCTTGATGATAGAGATGTGTTGTATGTAAATGCCTCAGCTCTTTGTCTTCATATGATGGGTAGCATTTATCATGGGGCACTGAGATTCATTACAAAGTGTCATTCTCTTACTCACCATTGAGTTCTTCCCTCAAAAGCAATTGGTCTCCCTTATGTGTGTACCGCCTCAGTCATTGGTGTGTATTCGATTCATGTATAAAAGCTCCCTGGCCAAAATTCCTACCTCTTCAACTTCTTTTTAAACTGGAATAATGGAAGTCATAATCTTTGTAGTATTTGCGATTTGTTGTTGCTAAAGTCCGAACTGAATATAGAGAAAGAATGCATGTAGGTTTTTGGCACCTAATGCATGGAATAATCTACAGACTGATTTTGAGCTTCAAATCCTAGTAATGCTAAAAGAGTTTAAATCTCTGGTAAGTCTCTTTAGTCCTGGTTGTCTGTATGCAAGTGCTTTAATGTTATTAATCTATTAGTTGAAACTACTTTGCTGCTATTTTTGGTCAGGTCTCCCTTATTTGTAATCTCAAAACGACTAACATAGTAAAATCAAAGATAATAACAATAATAATAATACTACCTTTTTTGTATCATCTCATTGGGACATGACAGAATATTACATTTTGGATGATGTATGAGCTGCCTTGTGACCGGCCTTTGTGGCATTTCAAGGGCACCTGTTGATAAATTCAAAGGAATGTTGAAGAAACGTTAGTGGATTAAGAGTGATGCTACAATCAGCACTTGATTAGCTTAATTTAGCATAAAGAGAGGAAACAGGGTGGAAACTGCTAACCTGGTTCTGTCCAAAGGCAACAAAATCCATCCACTAGCACATTTAAATCTCACAAATTACCTATTTTGTTTATAAAAATAAAAATGACAAATTGTGATTTTACAGGTGATCTCTGCTGCTTGCCACAGGTCTAAAGACATGGGAATGATATCAATTCACTTCTCTCTTAAGAAAGCAAATAAGCGTATTTCCAAATATGTCCAACTTGTCTTTAACAGGCTGTGCAGCTCAGCAGTTGTTGACATCTCTGATATGTCCTGAACTTCCAGTAATCGTGTCTTCAATGTTGTTTCATTTGTTCTCGTCTTCATGTTCTTCAGCGATGGCAGCTGTCTCTGTAGAGCTTTTCAGTATGAGGGCCTCTTATCGTGTGAGGAGGAATGCCCTGCTGACTGCATCAGCATATTTAGGATGCTCTGCATATGCATCCTGCCTGCATTTGTAACTGAGCTCCATAATGAATACTCCATGTGTGTTAGGTGTGAGCGCTGTGTGTTATCACAGCACATGCAATGGTGTGGACACATGACATTTTCAGTTTGTATGACCATGCATGAACTCGTTGTCACTCTGTCGATAGGTAGACTTTATTCAAATGTTTGTATTGTTTTAAATCTTGTTTTATGGGGACCTTTATTGATTCTATAGCCAGAATACATAATAATTTAATAGGGAAACATCAGCTGAGTATTGAACCTCAATGTTTTTGTACTGACCAAATTGTTTCTATAGCAACAAGTGTGCTAATCTAGCCAGCACTGAGAGTTGGCATAAAATATAAGATTGGATTTGTTGTTTACTCATTCTCTTGTCAAATGACTTCTTATTGAAATCAAAATGTTCCAGTTTTTAAAATGTTTATGTTTGCAAAGTTCTTGCACAGCTGTTTTTGACTAGATTTAAAAGAAGCTAGAGAGGTAGTGTGTCTGAGTTCACTGGGCAGAGGGTTCCAAAGAGTGGGTGTTCTGATAGCAAAACCTTGATGTCACAAGCTGGGATCTGGGAGCAACCAGCAGGACTCCATCTGCAGATATCAGCACGAGAGGGCACATATCAGCTCAATAAATATGTCATGGATGGGATTACTGCAACTAAGCTGAAAATATAAAATTCGAACATAATTTTAGCTGAATATTGGTATATTGTGAGCAAATGTTTTATTATCAATGATCTGATGTGTCTCCTCTTAGAGCCCCAGCGACATGATGCCCAAGAGGGATCAAGAAAGGGATGTGGAGCTGGACAAGAAGATTGAGGCTCTCCGCCGGAAGAATGAGGCGCTCATGAAGAGGTACAAGGTGAGAAGTATCTGTGATCTTCAGGTGTGGTTTCTTGAGTAGAAATGCAAGTCTTTGTGTGGGGGGATCTCCTTCAGGCTTCCTGATTGTTTGTTTTCATTGGGTTGCATGTAGGAGGTGGAGGAAGACAAGAAAAGGGCAGAGGAGGACGGAATGGCACTGCAGAGTCGCAAGGGCAAAGCTGATGATCTCACCATCACGATCAGCAAGTCAACCAGTGTGAGTGTCTAAAATGTGAGGTGACGGATAAGCAATAATGTTGTATAGACGATATGGTAAAGACACATTTTCTATAGAAGATGTTATAAAATCGGAATATTTTGTAACACGCTCCCCTCTTCGGTTTGAAGCAGGATAGTCGTGTTGTGCTGACAAAGCCATTCAGTGGTGGTTCACCAGCTGGAAAAGGACAGCAGGAGGCTGGGCCTGACAGGGGGGGAGAGGGCCCCTCGCAGAGCACTGCCCAGGGCCACAGGAAGCAGTTAACGGTCACCATGGCAGGCAAAACGGTAAATGCCAATTTCCACTTGAAGTGACACGGAAAAAATAAAGAACCCCAAACCCCTGTAGTTTCATTGACAATAATGAAAGATTAACACATCGTTCTAATCAGTAAGCACACCTTCCTGAAATAGTAGGATTCAGGAAGAAAACAAGTTGCATAGTGTTGCAGCTTGAATTGGACTGGTTCTTATCCAGCAATTTAACCAGCTGAGTACAGTTATTTACTGGAACTTAAATAAATCTATGTACTAATGATGTAGTCAGGTGTCAAAACAGGTTAAATATGCCTGTTTGATGCTGAGTAGTCAAAAAGAGGAGTCTGATAACATGCTTACAATCGGCTATTCAAGTGCATTGTTTTCGATGTTCAAGATCTTAGATTAGCATGTTTACATGCTAACATTTAAACATGAGGTAGACATGAGTCTGACATGAGGCTTGGATGTCATTTGTTATATGGGTGTCAGGTCACAAACCAAATGTTAAAATTTTAAAATATTGGTCTGGGGAACACCAGGTTTTTAGGTACTACATTCTATGGGCACCATTGATATCTGTACCATGTTATAGGACAACACATTTAATGTTTATACAGATATTGTTTTTCATTCTTGGGTCAGAAGTGGACACAAGTGGTGGACTGACATAGCTACCCAAAGAGACATGAAGCTAGCATGGCTTAAATGTGCAGCTGGTGGAGGTACAATATTCCATTTTCATTGCATTTCACATTTTATTCGTATAGCACCAAATCACAACATACATTATCTCTTTACGCACTTGATATATCAAGGTCGAGACCTTACAACATTATAGAGAAACCCAACAGTAATATATAATATGTAATTATGTATGAAAAGCTTACATTTATGTTAGAGCTGTCAAGATCCTATTTATGAGTGGTCTGTATACAGACCAGCAGGAGTACATGTGTTTTGATTACTGCATATGCATGACTGTTTGAATTTTGTGTTTCCACCCTTGAAATATTGATTATGCTGAATTGGGTCCTAACCAGCAGCACTCTTGTATTTCAATGCACCTGGTGGCAGTTTGACACTAATGAGAGTAACCGTCTCTCCAGGGTAAGAGGGTGGTGAGTGAGAGGCCTGAGAAGAGGCCGGATGCCACAGACGTCAAGAGCCCTACGGAAGATGGACTGGTGAGGCGCGTGGAGTCAGCTGGGAGGGGGAAGCAACAACCTCACATGACCAAAAGAAGCACATCATCAGCAGCCTCACAGGTTTGAATCAGACACACTGAACAGTCCAGCGATCACATGCTTCAGCGTTTAAAACACGGCACGCACCCTACTGTCGGCTTTCACTCTCACACACCCCCTTTGTTTGTCCTCCATGGGCTGCACGGACGTGTTTTACATAGATGTCAGACATGTCGGCTGGCCACATCCCTCCAATGATGGAGCACAATGGTCGTGGACAGGAGGCGGGCTGGGGCTGTGGCTGACTGTTGTGGGATTAGTCAAAGGGGGGCTGCTAACAGAGCTGTGGAACAAAAATTCAAAGAATCCAGCATCTTCTGGTGACTTCTGACTTCTTTGGTGTGATCACACTCATGTCTGATAGTTATTTAGCATATTTTATCCCTCTGAGGAATCTTTTGTTGTATTTTTAGCAAAAATATAAATAACTTAGCCTTTGCATGTAGATGCCTTTGGGTGTGTGTGTACCACACACAGGAACTGTAAAGTTCACAGAGCCCCTCGAGTGCCATGAAGACTAATTGAAGACAGATAGATGCTATAGCAGCTCAACAAAAGGTTGCGATATCAGTGATATAGAAGAAATGAAAAGAATCAATAGCTTTACCATATGCTGGATGTTTGAGATCCTATGTTTAACACACATAGGCAAAGACACATGCACTACCCCCAGCAGGGATGTGAAATGCCACACTATCACTGACCTTAGCCCCCCTGGGTATGTAGAAAGTCTGAAACAGCTGCACCGCCCCAGTATGAAGCATGCGCACACACACACACACACACATACACACACTCTCGCATGCGCACACACTAGCAGACAAATCAATGAGCTGATCCACGGCACAGACAGCTGATCCTCACTACTGTAAACACAGACACAGTCCAGCCAGAGGAGGGGTCTCTGGACACAACACATAGTCTCTACTAGAGTCTCTTTCTAAATGTGTACACACACACACACACACACACACACACACACAGACACACACACAAACCCAGTCTTAAAGGGATAGTTCACAGAAAAAAGAAGATTTGGAGGACGGGTGTGAATGTTAACGTGGCTCTGGAGGAGAATCAGAGCGGAAGTTTTGGCTAAAACAAGGTGTAAATGACACTGTTTAGAGTTGAAATTTGAAAGTAGGGGCTTAGGGACACTTTGATGACACCACAGGAGCAGCACGGAGGCATTTAATTTTTTTTTCCTGTAGTTTTTTTTACATTTGAAGAATTGGTCTCCATCTACCTCAATTGTATTGGATTTGGCTGCAACGCTGCTCACTGGCCTGTCGGAGCTAATGTGCACTAAATCTATGGGCTGAACACGCTGTTCTCTTGCCTTTTATTTCTAGCCTGTTCGGTCTGTCCCCCTTTTTTATTTATCATGTGGATTGAATCAGCAGTTGAACTGTAGCCAGCGCTTCAGTGCACCAGTGAATCCCAGAGACCTGTTTTCCACGTGGTTGCTGTTTGCATAACCATTTTCATTTAATGTGGCTTAGATGAGAGCAAAGAGGATGAATGCTGCTGAAGGGTGATACGGGAGGGGGAAATCTCATGTATCTATGCGGTCTTAAAAATGTATGTGCATGTAAAAGGTCCATGATGAACTGCAGACTACCTCTGAAATAGTTATCATCATATAAGTGTGAGCGTGTGCATCAGACATGCTGGAAATGAACAGTGACTCTGTGACAGGGGTGTGGTTGTGTGGCAGTGTCCCAGGCAGATTATAATGCCTGTAAGTGCCTCATGACTTCATCTCACACTAATAAGAACGAGAGACAGACGAAAGAAAATCCAGAATGGAAGAGTGAGAGGAAAAGTAAGGAGCAAGAAAAGAGGGTGAGAGGCTCCTTTGAACAGCCCAGTCTGTCTCCAGCCTCCATTTCTCGTCTCTGGATCCTTTAGTGATCTGTCCTGCTGTGGCACAATTGTTTCCCCATTCCCACCATCCTGAAAGGGGTCGATTTGATCTAATTAACATTCGACTGCCTTCTCGTTGTGAAAAGGCTCATTATGCTGCCACAGAGACAGGCCTGGCGAGGTGCCAGGAAAGGGTCAGAGAGTAGAGAGGAAGAAGACGTGTAAGGAAAGAAAGAAAAGAAACACAGTCTTTGTCTTTGTGGCTGCGTATGTGCTAGACCTCATTTGGGTGTGGGTAGTAGAGTGTGTTAGTGTGGGTGTGTTTGTCTGTAGTTGTACTAGACCACTCTGCCCAGCATTTATTGTCTCCCCCCCCATGGTCTGTTGATGCAAGTGTTGCTGTTACTGACAACATGACTCATGCACTGTTTTCACTCGAGCACAACTTGCAGTCAGAAATACACCAGAGCCAAAATTCACACTATTCTCTACCTGCAGTCAGGTGAGTTACATTGACATTCAACCATCTGTAACTGCACTCTGCTTCAATGACCCTTGTTGCAGAATGGACATTCAAAAAACAGACCAGTACCAGGGCATGCTGTAACCTCTTCAGTCCACTTGGGGGCAGTGTAAGACTCTTAATCTTTGATTGTGCTCTTGCTTGATTTGCTTTTACAGTTTGTTGCAGTAATTTGACTCTTTACAGCCACGTGAAATCGGTGGCAATAAGCTGTTGTGTCACCCTTGTTTTTGTTATGTGACTCTTTCATCTCTCCTCTTGGACAGGACGAGGTCATACTGGGGCAGAAGCACTCAGAGCACACAAAGATACCAACATTCAAATGAGAATATCGTTGCTGTATCTCTGAAACATCCTCTTCTCGTATTTGAGATTACCCATAAGCCAAAAGGCTGTAGTTCCAGGTTTGCACCCTCATCACGGACACCCACACACAGAGAGTCACACCCTCCTTTTCTAGCTCTTGTCCCCATCTGCCTACCCCTGGCCCACGTGGTCACATAACTGGAGTAGCTCAGAGCTGTCTCACAGATCAGGCGTGTGATATACAGGCTGATGGGAAAGGCACAGACGACAGGCTTCAAAGGCCCGCAGAATATTCCACATGACAAATGATGCCATTCATGCCCCTCTTGCTCCCCGTTCGTCGCCTGCCCTTCAGTCTGAGCCGAGTGAGCACTAAAGGAAGTAAGGCACAGAGTTTTTTGCAGGTGTTTCGAAGCGTAACTGTTTTGGTTAACAAAATAAATTGTAAACATCTGCAGGCATATTCAGGCTGAAACAATGTGAGCTTCAAGAGGCTCAACAGGCCAGAACGAGAGCAAAATGTTTATTTATTTCCCTCGTTAGCAATTTTTACCATCTAAAAGTCCTACTGCACTGCCCATACTCTGTGTGATGTCTACTTTAAGTGTCTTGGCCCCTGACAATCCTACCTGTGAGGCCCTGTGGAGGCCACAAATTGAAAAGTGCTAATTAGCAGGGCGGCTGGGGTGGCAGCAGGAGACGGCCTGTTGGAACATGTGAGACGAAACGTCCCTTGTGTCCCCTGATGTTCTCCAGGGGCCAGAGGAGAGGAAATGGAAAACACAAGGATGAGCACAGATGCTATGTACAAAACAGAAAGGCAACATGTTTACTTGACTGTGATTGGTCCACACCTGTAGGAATAACATTACCCATCTTTTTCTTTTTTCTTTTTACTGGAACTGTTGTGTCTCTTTCTCTGAATGTTTTTTTTTCTGTAGCTTTGAGACATAATATGCAGAGAAGAAGCATGTAGATGTTTTTATTCCTTGGTAACACAGACTTAACATTTTCTCTAGACATCGATATAATCTCCCTCTTGCTGTAAAAAAAAAAAAAAAAAAATGCTGACAGGCACTGTCTCTCAGAGACTGCTGTTTTTTACGTAATGTCTCTCAAAGCAGTGTGCTGTTTCTAGACCTGGTTTCCTCCAGGCCTTTGTAACGAGAACACACAGCCTCTGTCTGCTTTGATGTGTTAAAGAGCCTGCATCATATCTCCCTTCTCTCTCTTTAGTATTAGCCAACAATCCTTTCTGCTCTCATGGCACTAATCAATAAACAGGTTAAGCGGGGGAAGAAGAAGGAGGGGGACCTAATTGCATTTACAGTGCAGTACACTGCATTTTTTTGTCTGGAATATTGTCTCAGAGAGTTTGATTGTGTTGCCTCGCAGTCACCATGGTTGACGAACAAGCAACAATTTGTAATCAAATGGGAGCTCACTGGGCCCAGAGGCTGGCTTTAGTTTTTACGGTGCAGCAGTGATTTGCATTTGCACAATGCATGGAAATACGACAATACCTCTGTTTGTTCCCTTTTTGATCTGATCCAAAATTATCTGTATTGACCATACATACTGGTGCAGGTGATATAATGAAGTAAATGCCAGTGCATCCTTACGGATGAGTGGCTAGCACTGTGATATAAATCATAGGCTGTAAATAAAGATGTAAGACGCATCTCCACTTCCTTCCACTATCCAGAAACGAAGCCAAAAAGCTGGACTCTTTGCTGTAGCAATCGTGGATGGAGCTGCGAAAGGAGTTCCTGGCGATAATGGTGTTACACCCTGTTTTATTGAAAATGATCTTTTGAGCAAACATCAGTGTGATAAGAACTAGGTAAAATGACAGTTCTTTGACTTTTTAGTTTGGTTCATGTCCCTTTCATTAACATGGAGGAGACAGGATTAATGACCGGCCCCAGCCACCACTGTAATAATATATCATAGTCATAATCATATGAAATAGGTCTTCATAAATGTCTTGACATACATACACATTAAAATCAAATGTCTGTATATCTGCCTACTACATTATAGTTTGTTTAGTTAAAATTTTCTTATAAATGTCAGTGAGGGTAGTAAAAGCAGGTAAAGCTTTATCTTCTAGGTTAGTGTCCTTGAACACCGATGGGTACAAGTAAATGACTTAATGATTAAATGTTACTATCAGCTTACTGATGTTCTTTGACTTCCATCCATTAACATGACAGAGGAGGAATTTATGACCTATACTGCAGCCAGCCACTAGGGGGCAATCAAAATGCTTTGGCTTCACTTTTCATGAGCAGTCATGTCGTCCATCTTTATATACAGTCTATGATATTTATCTACATTGAGAAAGACACTTGCTTTTATGCATTAAAACCCCACTGAAATGTTTTGTGTTCACGTAGGAGCCAGCGAGCCCTCATGCCAGCACAGACCTCGACATCCCCACACAGAAAGAAGAGCAGGAGGAGTATCTGAGGTGGAAGAGAGAGCGTGAGCAGATCGACAAGGAAAGAGTGGCTCGGCATAAAAACGCAAAGGGCCAGTGGAGAAGGGCATGGGACGTGGACAAAACTGAGAACATGTGAGACTTCTCAGAACTCACTTTTCCCAAGGCACTTTGATTTCTCACAGCTGTGATAGATGATCTCTCTCGGTTTTTGTGTCAGAGAAATCTTTTTCTATCTTTTTCCATGAAATTTCAACTGAGTAGCTTTATTCTTCTTCAGAATTGGCTTATGCAGGGACACTTGGTGGTGGTTGTTTAAGGAGAGTAGAGCTTTATTTGGTCAGTTAGGAATAGTCACAACCTTCTGGTCTTCAATCAACATCAACTCGTAAAAACATTTTAAAAAACGCTTTATCCCTTTTTATTTTATTACAGTAACTTCATTGTAGTGTGGTCTGCTAAGTGTTGGGCTTTGTTAGATAATCCGCTGCCCAGATAGCAGTTACTTTAATGAACAAAATATTGCTTCTCCCATCTTCTTTTACCTCTAAAGTCAGTGGACAGCTAAATTTAATTTTAGAGCAGATATAGATAACAAACAAACAAAACTAAGTGTGAAGAACAGCCTGTTTCTTTCTAGTGGGATGATTCAGCAGAAGCTTCTATTAGATGAGCTTTGTGGATTTTATGCCACATGATCACAAGACTATATCAAGTCACAGGATTGCATCACAAAATAATTACTGTTTAAGTGAATTGTGTCATTCTGTTATGTTACTATAACGTGTTGTAGACTATCTCTTATTTTAAAATGAGTCTACGAACAGTATGTTCGAGCCTGCCCTCACGTTCCTTTGTGAAATCACATGATAGCACCTCAAACTCACTGGAGGGAAAAAAACAACCAATTCATTTTAAACAGTTGTTGGATTTGAAACAATCTGGGCTGTAGTACAAAGGGTAAAACCCGCAGAATAAATAAATGGGCTGAGTATATGAATGTGCTGTTTAAGGAAGCTTCAAAATTTAAAGAGAGAAGGAAGGAGCCGCTATTTTTAGCCATGGCTACGGGATGGAATGCCTTGCCTTATTTGGCGACACTTAAACAAGGTCCTTGAGTCAGAATAGAGGAGGAAATGTGTTTTTGACTCAACTATTCAGGTGGTTTTAGTGGATGTAAAATACAAGGGTGTGACACGTGAGGAGAAAACACCTCCCACTGCTTCAGCATAAAGGCCTGTCATAAATGTGCAATGATGATACTCAAATAAAAATTGTGTTTCTGTCCATCTTAACCTGTGCTTTTAGGTTTTCAGACAAAACCCTGCCTGATAGAGACTGGGGGCCTTGTAGCAGAGGTAAGACTGAAAACATGAGATTAAGACGTGACAAAAATATGGATTGCAATGTTTGCTTGTATTATTTTTGTATTAATCATTCTTTTTTAAAAAATTTTATTTCAGGTGGACGAAGTGCTAGAAAAGGACAACCCAGGGCAAATGTGGACCCAAAAGGTATCCCACACTGAACTGTTATTTATTTATCAGATAAGTGCCTTATGATAATCATATCAGAAATACTTTATTGATCCCAGGGGGAAAATATATCGTATTGAATTGATATTTCCTGAAGTGCCAGTAAAACAGCTACCGGTCAGTATCTATAATTTGAATTCTGATTTAATGATGAGGAATTCTATGATGAAAACAGGATATATTGTTGGACATAATTCAAATAATAATAAATAATAATAATAATAAAATGAAATGACCTCTTATCTTATATAATTCAAATATATATGTATAATTCATGTGCATTATACATACCATCTAAACTAACTGTCTAACAAACTCACAATTTTACACTTAACAACCTAAGATTAAAGCACATCAGCCATCACTCATACGATACAACACAAATATGCATGTAAACTAAATCATGTGAGATTAATTGGAATTTCACACATGATTATGAGTTTACCCTGCCACTACTGCCCCTCTGCATTATAAACTGATTAGATTGTATTTTCGTATGTAGCAGTGGGGATAGCTATTGTGTGCTAATTGTGTCTTCCTGTATTCCCCTGTCCTACAGGTCGTGAGAAGCGAGGAAAAGACAAGGGAGCTAAAAAAGTACTGGTGATGAGCAGTAAAGCTAAAGGCAAAGATCGCTTGACTGGGAGGGCCAGGAGGTCAGTACCAGCGAAACATGATTCAGTTTAGTGCTACACAAGAAAAAAACAGCCTGCTGTTAGACTTGATTGGAGTGTCTCTCACCACAGCCTCAATGAACTGTTAAGGGAAAAACTTACTATGACTAATGAAATATGTGAATTGGCTGTGAAGGCATATTGTTTTCCCGCACTTCGCCGAAATGTACAAATTCCACTAGATGTCATGAGACATAATTTAGAAGTTGTGGCAGCTGACTAAATCACCCAGAAGGCCTCATTCATGTCTCACTGCATTCACTTTTTATTTTTCTCCTCCAGTTTTTCCTCTGTTGTGAAACAAGCCACTGTGCTGCCTGTTGACGAGGCTTTCAGGCTGCGCAGTTATACAAGTGTTGCTCATAATCTCAAAAAGTCATGCGACCACAGAAACTGATGTGTGAAAATGTAATGTCCCTGATGATATGTTGTCTCTGTGTCTGTGGTGGGGAACAACATAGAAACCAACACTCACACATCCTGACCAATTCTTGATATCAGGATGTGCTTTTGTCACAGCTGGCAGTAAATCCTGGTGCAGTGAGACGCAGCCCACAGGCCACCGATTCTACCACAGCTGAGCCCAAAGACTCAGCTGGTAGAGCAAAGCTAACGTAGCTTTTCTACTAAAGGTCGCTTCGAAGCACGAAGTCACATTCACACACATATTCATGCTGTGTGTCAACACACCGCTTTTTTTTAGTCAGACATTATTCATACACAGTCGTAACAGCCGGCACGTGCAATTTGGGTTCAGTATCTTGCCCAAGTTCACACAGAGTGGAGGAGCCGGGGATTTAACCACCGACTTCCTGGGTAGGGGACGACACTCTCTTCCTCTTGAGCCACAGCTGCTCAAAATATATATATATTTTTAATGGGGCTATGTGCGGTACAATTTGTTACCAGTCATAACAACTTCTTTACTTTGTTTTGTGTGAATTATACAAAGAATATCACAGATTTTCACCTTTGGGCAGGAACAGGCTAGCTGTTTCCCTCTCTTTCCAGTGTTTGTGCTAAGCTAAGCTAACTGAGTGAAGCTTCATCTTTACCTTACAGATATGGTAGAATGCTAACATGAAATAAAAGGACAATAGCATCACTATACTCACATTGTTATTGGGATACTTAATAGAAGTTGCTTCTACATAAAATGTTTACATTTTAATTTTTCAGATGGCAGGCAGGTGAAGAGGGTGAGAACGTACAGGTAAGAACTGAAACATGTGTCTGTGTCAATATGAACTGTGCATTGGTTAAGAAAGGTTATTAAAGAATCAAAAGTACCTGATTTGTTGTTCTAATCTCATCCTTTAGAGGTCTGATACAACATTGGAGGAACTCGATGCCCTCACAGATGTTGATGTAGAAGATCAGACAGGTCAGGACACAAAAACGTCACCCAGCTCAGATCCGCTGAATGTGTCTGAGGAAGTGAGTGGATCTGCAGCACCCGTGTCAGCCGCTACATCGAGAGAGGACGCCTCCTCTCAGGGGTGCCCAGAGGCCTCATCTCCCCGGAGTTCAGAGAAGAAAGTACGCTTCTCGGAGGAGCTGATCCAGGGAGCTCGTACGAGGCAAATCGCAGACTCTCAGGACTCTGCCAGCTCGGAATCTAGCTTAAAAGCTTCATCACCTAAAAAGAACAAACAGGAAGTGCAAGGTTCACAGCAGCCTCTCGAAAGTGCCAAGCAGGATGACGGAAGTCCTCAGGATCAGGGCGGTGATCCGTCTGCTCATCCTGTCGCCCAGCGGGAGTCTTATGAAATTGAATGTACTAAAAAAGACAGCAACCCCCCCACATCTCCCAACTTGTCCCTTCCTGAAAAAGCCTGTGCCTCTCCAGAGAAGGCCTCTCTCCAGCCGGTAGAGCTTGCTAAGTTCAATATCAGCAACACAAACACAGGTATGAAATGTTCTCAGTGGCCCTGACTTCTCTGACAGCACATTTGAATGACATGTAACCAAGATACTGTTGTTTTTTCTCACATAGAGGAGCTAATAGACTCCGGTCTGTCTGTCCTGAGCCTGGAGTCAGGAGAAACACACCCGACACATTGTACCAGCAGTGACAAGGTCAGTGTGACAGGATGAGAGATTGGAGGATCAAAAGATGTGTAAATGGACTGATGGAGGGAAGTGCAAATGGATGAGGAGTTAAAATGATGAAGAGAGATGGGCTGTAATATTCAATTTCAGTTTAGGTGTATATACCACCTCTGAGGCCTGTTTCGAGTTCAGGAGAAATAACATCTCATCCAGCATGGGAACAACCAGTATATAACCTTTAATCACGGGTCTGAGATGAATCAACACACTCTGCATTGTACAAATTCAATTACAGCTTATTTTATTTTGTTTTTTTACAGGCGAGAGAACACGGGAAGATTGTCTGACTGACATTTTCAGGACGGAAACACCGAAACCAAAACACAGCCACACAGAGGGACACAAAGCTCTCGTGTCTTTGTATTCGGAGGCTTCATTTCGCTTCAGGTTGCTCTTTTTCGTGATGAGAAGTTTACGGCTCACACGCAAAACTTTGGTTATTAATTTTGCTGTGGCGTGTGGCCTCCCATTGAAGTTTTCAAACATCTAAGATTTGACATAGGAATGGTGAATCCTTTCCCTGCTCAAATGATTTTGGATCAAAGCACTTTATGAATATAAAAGTATGTGTACTGACACCTTACACAGTATGTTGGTATGCTGCTCAAGTGCAATATCACTGAATGTTTACATGTGGATGAACATTAAAAGGTACATATCAGGAGGCTAGCTGATCTGTTCATCGTAGGTAGCCCTCGAAAAGAAAACTTCAGCCACACTCATGCTGTCTAGTGCCTGAATCTGCCTTAGAGGCATTTTCAATAATAAGGAATAAAGTCTGTATCACAGTGTGTGATGATGCAGTTGTGACAGACCTACAGAGTAGAGTCTGTGTTTCTACACTCACATCTGAGTGAGTGAGTGGAAATTATTTGTTTACTGCTTCCAGCGTGTGTCAATGTCCTTACCTGAATTTAGAAATCAATATATTATTGAAGGGCGCATTTGAGACTTATTGTCTTCTTGGCCTCTGACCAAGACACTGGTAAGTTTTCAAAATATTACCACTGGCAGTGGTATTTGCTTTTAAGGAAATTTAAAAGGGAAGTCCACTGATTTTACTTGAGGGGCATAGTTTTGTCATCTGGGTTAGTGCAGCACAGTGTGTGAAAAAAGTCGTCTGTGGCTGTGTGAAAATCTGAAAAACTCTGAGAAAGAAAACCCCCCGATGATGTCATAGTAAAGTCCATCTCTGTTTGGAAAAAGACTAAAAGTCAAGCCTCTGCAGTACGTGTTCATATTATTCTTTCCCCAAACTTTATAGAAGTACAGATCTAAAACATTGCTGCATCCTTTTAATATTAAGTATCAAATATTACTGTTACTAATGGTCAGTTGGTGGTTACCAGCTTAAAATGTAGCAGTTTTACTGTAGAATTAAAATCTCAAACTTGCCCATAAACACATTGCTAGTGTTTCTACAGTTTCTAAGCTAAATCCCAATCATCTGTTCTTCCCCACAAATTACGTTTTATACACTTAATGAAACTGTAAAGATCTACAGATGTAAACAATGGTCAGCAGAAACATGAATGTCAAATTTTTAAATAGTTTGCTCATGTTGTTTTTAGTCTCAGAGCAGAGGGATGGAACAGAGTCAGGCTTTCCTCCTCCTGTGGGACGGACAGACTTGTTCTGTTCAAAGTGCATTATCCAGGTCCACTAGGATTTAGCCTTCAGTCCACAGACACGCTGGATTCAGCTGTAATTCCCTCCTGACACTGTTCTGCCACTAGGTCTCTTTTATAATCATAAAAAACAACTAATATTTTTAATAAGGGTTTAGCCTGCTGTCGTGCCTTGCATATTGGCTTCTTCAATACTGAAGGTGTTTCATGGTTCGTATCTTAACATACTGTAGTGTTAAATGTACTGTAGTAACAGTGCAGCGTCAGTATTGATTTTATTTATTTGCCTCTCCCATCGGACAAGAGAATGTGTTAACTAGAATTGTTGCAAATCTAAAACTGTGCATTATAGTGGCTGTTTTTATTCTCTGTGACATGTATGAATTTTTATTTATTGCCAGTCTACTGTTGTGTTTTTGGTATCATTGATAGTAAGAAGAAGAACTCTCCTCAAAGAAGGTTTTTGGCTTTCGTCAATGCTACAGTTTAGTAAACGGTTATGTAATCGTAAGTAGACGAGATAGTGGATATGCTCTGAGCTGCAGGGCCCTGTCAGCCTCAACTGTGGTTACATAAAATACAAATAGTCAAGAATGTAGTAGAAGCACACTGGGAAAATGAAGAAACAGGTTACGATGAAAAGATTTATTCTGTATTATATATGGAATTCAAATATGAAATAAAAGAAACAGAAAAAGCAGGTAGGGAAGATGAGCTCTGGAATATATAAAAATCCCTGTGGGATTAAAATTAGTGACATGAATTTTCGGACCTTCAACCACACAGCAACTTGTCCTTGTTTAGTTTGTTCATTTAGTTTTCATACATCTGCATCATCAGCTCACTGAAGTGACAAATTGTAGGAGGTGTAAGTGACTCTCTTGCTTCACCACTGCTGTCCTCCATGTTTTTACACACACACTCATGAGGAAGGAATGAATGTGTGTGTCTGTGTGACCTCAGCTCATGATAACTTAATTATAGCTTCATTTACTGTGGAACAACGTGGAAGGAACGAGCAACATCAATAAAGTTTTTCTGTATTTCAAATTCTCTAATGAAACCTGGTGTTATTTTGTTGCACCCTCATATCACCACTTGCGATTACACCATAGATGCAAATGAATTCATCCTCTGGAGAGTCTGGGCACTCCAGTGAATCTCTGAGGGAACAAAAAGGTGCAGAAATTGCAGCTTTACCAGTCTATAAAGTTTGACCTTGGTTCGCTGACTCTGCCTTTATGTTGGATTTTATTAATTTCGGATGAGCTCTCCCTGCAGGGCTGTTGAATTGGAAGCAGCAGCCTCTCGGCCCTACAGGTGGGACCTCCCGTAGGTGCTACTATTTTAATTATCTCCTCCCGCGGCTGTCTCCATAGCAGCCTTCTGCCACTGAGGCTTTCAGGCTTTTGTGTGATATTGTAGAGTGCTGTCTACACCTGCCCTGTGTGAAGACAGCCCTGAGATAAGTCATGATTTGGTGCCGTATAAATTAAATTGATTTGATTTGACTTGTGACCTGTTGTACAGCAGCCTCACTCTTCTTGAAAATCCACCGAAATGTTGAGCTGTCCTTTTCTAACACAAGTCGAAAAGGTTTTCGATCCCTGCTTATGAGATTATAACACACACAGTTTCCGTCCATCACATTGCCTGTTCACTTTGGTGCAAAGCTAATAGTTTGGAGTGTCTGATGCAATAGTGCACTACAGTGGGGGTGTTGATATTATGGAAATAAGAGCTGTAGGCTGTACTAAAGGATTGAAGGGCAGTGGAGGATTATTTCAGCTGCTCTGAGCAGTGAGGGGAAGCTTCACAAGAAAAAAAAATCAAAGGACTCAACTTTTGGGCATCCTAGTGCAGGGGCCTGTTTTCATGTCTCATCAATCGACTTTTTTGTTTTTGTGCTGGGTTGGAAATGTGTGGCTTGGAGAAAGGATTCATCGACAGTAGCTTTAAATTGATATGAGGGCATTATGAACCTTCTCATCGATCTGCAAGAAAGCATAAAGGTGTATTTCCTAAAATGTTAGAGCTCAAATCTGCATGTTGTCCCTGCAGGTTTGTGCTGCCTTATATCATCCCTGTGCCACAGACGCAGGGATGATATAAGGCAGCACAAGGTGGAGAGCTGACTGTCAAAAGCTTCTCTGTTTCATTAGCATTGATGGATGTAGGTTAAGTGCAGACAATGGGCCCGGCCATGCGACTCTGACAGCACCTCACACAGGCAGGTTGGCAGTCCCCACTGAGCGCGTGCGTCACAACTGGATGTAACAACCACGGCTCAGCAGCAGCCATGATCAGGGAGATAGTGTTCCTCCCCCTGCTTCTCACCCACCACCACCCTCCCCTTTCATCCCCTCGTCGAGGAGACAGGAGGCGGGGCTGACAAGGTGAACGTGGTCTCTGTCTGCCATATTGGTCGTGGATCGGCCCTATTTTGGTTTTTGGCCGCATCATCTAATAAATGAGGTCAGAGTGGCTATAAACAAACAATTAGCTTTTCTGACTTAGTGGAAATACTCACTCAAAAAATAATTAAGCCTAAAATGTTGACTTAATGTACTTCAATCACATTAAATAAAATTCCATGTTACTTTGTTACATAAGTTCAATGTCAAGTCAACGTCGATTTTTTGTTTCCTGGTGAAACGTGTGATTTAGTTTTTATTTCTATATCTTAAAAATGAACATGATAGTCACACTAACATATTGTAAATAGGTAACAGTTGTAAAGGGTAGTGTAGCTAATTTTAATTAGCTAAATGGGTCAGATACTTTGTCCTACAGCTTTAAAATCATTCCAATATTTCTTCCTTTTTTGACCTTGACATATATTCATCTATATTATATATATATAATATTATGAATGTTTTTAGATCCTCTACATCATATTTATTTGTTGTGTGGTGTGTTTGTTGTGAAAACTAGAAAAGGTATGCCATGAATTTTTTATTCACCGGTATAACGACAAGGTATTAGGTATTACGACAACATTATTAAACTCCCAGAAAGCTGACAACGCCGTACCTATACACACGGAGTATGACGTTTGTTTTAAAATGCATAACTCCCCCACCACTGCCCTTTTAATAATTGAAAAAGCTTTTGTTCACCGCTGTCACATTGTTCACCGGCGCTGCCAGACAATGTGCTAATATGAACATACATTTTGTAATGGTGTATTGCTCAAACAATGAAGGCCTTTAATCCCTTCAGCTTTGGTGGAAAAGGTCCCCTGGTAGTGGTGTCAACCCCTAATATGTCAAAGCTGGTGGGGGAAGTAATCTACCCTCAACCCTTTAACAAAAAGATTGTGTGTGTTTGGGGAAAGGTTTCTTTGTGTTCACATTTAAATCTGAGTTAAGAATGCTGACATGCACATTTTGTGACATCACTGGTTTGGAAGCCAAAATGCCACCTACACACAATTGATGTGTCTCAATTTTTTAGCGGAAAACATTTCCACATTCACAAATTCTTAATGTTTCAGTGACAGAGAGGGAGTAGATGTGGAATATCCTGTTAGCATGTTAATGGCTGGGTTGTTTCTGAAACACACTTTTTTGTTGAAGTCGTCTTCACGTGCAGATAGCCATCATTTTATTAAGTTGTCTGTGGCCCTCACATGACTGTAAAAAAACACAACCGAATGAAATGCTTGGTCGGCGTGTATCGGTCAGTTCCTGTCCGTGCTGTCACCAGAGTCTTCAGCCGGTGAGACTTAGGCCGCTGAGGCAGAGACGATGAAGTTAGCGAGCTAGCCGCGGAAAAGTCTCGGAGAAGTTTCAAATTGTCGCCTGCTCTTGCTATCTTTTCCACGATTACCAACCCTAGCTTTAATCAAACCTTTGTAAAAACAAATAGGATACATTTGTATGTGTAAAAAAATTTATATGGAGTGGAGCTTTAAAAATTACACACAATATTAATCACCAGCACAAGCACACCTCTGGCCTCCCTATAAATTTACTCTTTTAAGATCTAATATGATCTATGACCTGACTTCAGCTACAAGACAAATGAATCTCATTCTGCTTTTTAATGTATCATATGACTGATTCCCCATCAGATAATGTAATCATCTGCCTGAGTGACTAAGTTCAAGAGTCGTAAGGTCAGATCCTGAGTCGTGAGTCTGGTGCAGCTCCTAGCTGTAACTGTCAGTGCTGATTAACTCCCTCATCAATACGTCGGTCATTACTGCCACCATATATCACAAGGACCCATAAGAGGCACTGGAGCAGCATCTCTCGAAGCTGCTCTACATACACTGTGCCATGGATGCTCTGTTTTAGATTTTTCTGTTGCACACATGGGAGATGCTTGCAGCCAGCGCTGTCTCCCCTGATGAATTGACTTCCTGTTTGGCCCACCACACACATACCTTGGCTCCGGGTTCAAAACAGAACCTGTCACATTAACACGACGCGTGCATGTCCCCGCCGTATACATCACACCGGCTGCAGCGGCAGAGAGCGAGTGGGTTTTATTTGTCAGCATGATAGTAAATGATGCTCGTCACGCCAGCACAAAAACACAAACCTTTCAGAGAGAGAGAGCCAGACCAAAAATAGCAGGATGAGCAGCAGCAGCATTGTGTAATGTGTTCTTTTGTATTACCGTGCACACAACAGAACCCTCGAATCAATACACCTCCCTCACATGCTGCTGAGAGAGTGCACAGGGCGGTTGGTCTTATTTCCACTTCAGACCACATGTGACTGAAGTGGTTTCAGTGAGAGCTGCAGTGAGTGAAGCTATGGCGGACTGAGAGATGAATGCCGCTCTTTCTGCAAGGGGGGGATAGTGGCCTCCGATCACACTGGACAGTGCACTTGAGCAATTAAAAAGCCCCCCCCTTCCGAATTGGATTGAACGCCCATGATCACAAGACTGAACATAAACTCACTGATGTGATTTCTGCTGAAGCTACTCAAATGCGGGGTTTGCACTCTGAAGCCAGATCGTCAACATCGTCATCCACTCTGGCTCCACATAGATCAAATATCATTAACATACCGGGTTATACAAAACCATAGAAGTGAGTCATTTTCTAAGGATGTTTATTTGTACCTTGTGTTATAGTTATTCCTATCATACATGTATCTTTAATAAAAATCATCTAATTACACTAAAAGTTCATCAAGGCCAAAAAAGATCTATGCCTGCCCTACATATGTACATAACCAAATCCACAGTACATTTACATGGTTACATACCTGAGCATAACTCAACAATGCAGTTTTTCTTTTACTCGGAATCCAGGTTTGATGAAAAAAAGGGAAGAGTACAGCCTATAGATACTAAAATGCTATTAGTGATTTTTAGACCAGCCCATGAATGGCAGTGATGTTAAGCGCTGCATGTTTGCATGTTCATGTCCTACAAAACAAACAAAATACAACCTCTGGAGCCTTTGTCCCATTCATTTTAACAAAATATCTAGAGCAGTCTTGTCCACACGCACAGGCAGGTTGGTGGCCTCAGAAGCTGGAGACACACACTGATTTTTAAGGCATACAAATGGCCTAAAAGGAACAAAACGCATAGTTAGTGTTGGGGGGTGTGTGCAGTGTTTACAGAAGAAGATGTCTTCTCTTTTCTCAGGCGTTAGAGCAAGAGATGAGTTCATGTGAGCAGTTCAGCATCCACAAGAGGATCTGCAAAGACCTACGTGTTATCCGACCTGCGGCTCCGAGTCTGTAAAACACTCCTCCGTGGGTCAGTGTGTGCGTGAGGGGTGATGATGGCGATGATGGGAATCAGGGCCTGATCACTCTCCTCTAATGCTCGTTGGAGGGACGGTGGCCGAATCTGCAGCCGCCTGCTCCGGGTCAGTCGCTCCATCACCCCGATCGCGCGTCACCCTCTCCTCCTCCTTCTCCTTCTCCCCTTTACCCTCTGTCTCCGCGGTTTCTGTCGGGATGTGCTGGCTCACCCGGGGTTGGGACTTGCTTGGCGTCTCTTTCCCCAAAGTGCCCGATCTCTCAGTGGATGACGCGTAGAGTCCTCCCTCCTCCTGCCGCTGCGAGTGCGCAATTTCTGCTCCGGGCGAGACGGCCACGCTCTCGGGCATGTCGTCCCACTGAAACGCCGCCGATGCGCGGCTGTGCGGGGATGCTGATGCCGAGGTAGTGCCCTGCCTCGTGGTGTGGTTCAGAGACAGCAGCAGCCCCGTCTGCGTTGAGTTCCACTCCGACACGGTGATGCTCGTGGAAACATTAGTGGAGATGTTGGCGCTGGGGGTGACCTCCTCTGGCACTCCCGGCCTCCCCGCGGAGGAGGACGCACTAGTTGGTTTCCAGATGAGGCTGTAGTAAATAGCCAGGATGATGGCTGCTAAGGACACGGACAACACATATGCAAATACGGTGGCTAGTCTCACCCACTTCTTGTTCGTCTTAGCAGCCATCTTAGCCTTTTTGTCCCCCGTGTAAGTGGCAGGTTTGCCCCTCTCCATATTGGGCATGAAGTCCCGCTCTCTCATGTTGCCCCTGTTTTTTCCTCGATGTTCCACCACCCCCTCCGTCTTGAAGGCTTCTTGTTATCCACAGTCCAAGAGAAGTCGGGAGGCTGAGGGATGAGCAGAACGGGGATGCAGGTCCACTTCGCACCGCAGGAGCGTTGTGTGCAGCCCAATTGATTTCTTGTAATTCACTGGAAGTCAAAAGCGCTGCGCCTCACACTCGACATACCCAGTGCACCATTGCGTTTCATAATGGACATCAGGCTCATCCACGGGGCTGAGTGCGCGCCTCAGCATCCGACAGCGGCGGGACGAACGTTCCCCTCGCAAGACATTTCCACGGAACAGCTGCTACAGGCCCACGGCGGATCCGCAGTATGTGGGAATTGATGTGATTTATTGAAAACGATTAAGTGAGCGCCACAGACCACAACACGCAGCTGTATGTCTCATCCAGAGAATGAAGTGGCTGGCTCAGCTAAAAATACAGGAGAGGGGGCGGGCGGTGGCTCTTAAAGAAGAAGCAGCAGCTGTGTGCAGCAGCCACACACACACACACACACACACACACACACACACACACACACACACACACACGATGCTGTAGCTGGGATGAGGTGACGCTGGAAAGGTGTTTACCCGTCATGAAAGGCTTTTAGACCGTGTGCCATGAGCCGATAAAACAAAGTTATGACTTTTATCGGGATTTATGGATTATGTAAAGCTTGTCCAAACTGTTGATAGACTCCCACAGCCTGACTGAGCGTATGACAGATATTTGGTTTGGTTTCTGGATCAGTTCTGATCTATCTACCTGTTGGCACCGCGCGTCATTTCAGCACAAAGGACAGCGCCCGGATTTCTCACTGCGCATGTCCTGTAGGACAGTGTGGAGGTGAAGCAGGTGAAGCAGCAGGACATGTGACCTGTGATGGACACAACTCACAGCTATCAGTAAAACACACATATATATATATATACACACACCATGTTAAACATTATATTGGTATACACCAGGGGTCACCAACCTTTGAATCTGAGAGCTACTTCATGGGTACTGAGTCATATGAAGGGCTACCAGTTTGATACACTCTTCTGAAATAACA